CCGGGACTCGAACTGTGGTCAACTACATAGGAGTCCAGCAACATAGCCATTACGCTAACTGCTGGTCCCCTCTATGTGTTTTTTTTAAGTCACCAAGTCTGAGATTCCAACCCTGCAGCCAGCCATGTCGGGGATCCAGGTCCTGAACCTCCACACCACCTGCTGGCCCCAGGAGAGAATTTGTGTTGGGGAAAGACCCGGCCTCACCCTGGGAGTCTGGGAGGAGAGAATAAACTGCGCAGAGACAAGAGCAGAAAGACCCTGCGAAATGCCCCTCGCCCCTCCCCAAACCCTTTGGCTACTTTGCAAAAACTAGGTCTTCCTTGCTGGGGTGTCTGGCTCCCTCCCCTGCCGGGCCCCACCCACCTGCTGTGGCGCCATGCACACAACCCGATCCGGCCAGCCAGCAAAAGCCGTTTGTTGTCCCTTGTCACCTTCTCACTGCCCCGAAACCAACCCCAGATCACTTTTCAGGGCGTCCATGGGTGACGGGCCTTCAGATTGACCCAGCCTGGCCCTGGGACTGACTGGAGGAGCCACGATTGGTGTGGGATGGTTTCTGCCAGATTCTTAGTATTTCGGACCAAAAAATTGAACGTAACAAGAGTAGGAGGAAAGAAGAGAGTTGATTTCATTTTAGAGAGACAGAAAGCAAGAAATCACCTTCCGGGGGGATGGCCACGCTGCGGTCCCTTCTCCATTCTCTTCTCGGGATCTTGGGCATGCGCACACACTCCCAGTGGGTCCAGGACTTGAACCATGGCCAACCATGTGGGAGTGTAGCACCTTAACCATGACACCAACTGCTGGTCCCCGAAATGGTAGTTTATTAAGCAAAAGAGAAAGTTTCTTCCCAGAGGCAGAAGTGCTCAGGCATGACTCAAGAGCCCTGATGGTTACTTTCCATGGCGGGACGGGGGGGGGAGGGGGCATCTAAGAAGGAGCAGCACGTGGCATAATGGCTATGTCACTGGACTCCCATGTAGTTAAACTGCAGTTCGAGTCCAAGACCCGGTGGCTTAAACTCATGCCGGGCGCGTGTGCGTGCGTGCCCAAGATCCCGAGAGGAGAATGGAGGAGAAGGGATTGCGGCCTGGCCATCCCCCCTGGGGGGTGATTTCTCGCTTTCTGTCTCTCTGTCTGTCTGGCGAGTGCACGCGCCCTATAGCAAAAACTCAAAAAAACAAAACAAAACAGAAAAGGAAACTGAAGCTCAGGTCTCATGACCATTCTGAGGCAGGCCTGTCCTGGCTCCTGGAACTCGCCCTGCGCAGGGCTGCCTAACCATGCTCAGGTGGCTGTGAGGCCGGAGCCTCTGGCCACAGCCCCAGATTGGCCGAGTTCCCGGCTCCTGATTTTAGTTGAGATTGGAAGGCGCTCCCTGTCCAGCCTCCCCTTCCAGGGTGGGGCCCACGCGGGAAACTGGTTTCTGCCAGGCCTGCAGGCACTGCTCCTAGGGCGCCTCCAAAGTTAAAACTGCGGGGACCAGCAGTTAGCGTAATGGCTATGTCGTTGGACTCCCACGTAGTTGACCGCGGTTCAAGTCCCGGACCCAGTGGTTTAAACTCACGCCAGGCGCGTGTGCGTGCATGCCCAAGATCCCGAGAGGAGAATGGAGGAGAAGGGATTGCGGCGTGGCCATCCCCTCTGGGGGGCGATTTTCTGCTTTCTGTCTCTGTCTCTCTCTGTCTGTCTGGCGAGCCCACGCGCCCTATAACAAAAACCTCTCAAAAAAAAAAAAACAAAGTTAAAACCACACAGTTTCCAGGGTTCAAGTTCAAGGTCGCGGGAGGATGATTAGAGACCAGATTTGGTTAAGACTGGAGAGGCATCCAGGGTGACACTTTTATTTTTTGGAGAGGTTTTGCTATAGGGTGCTTGCATTCTCCAGAAAGACAGAGACAGAGAGACAGAAAGTGAGAGATCACCCCCTAGGGGGGATGGCCACGCCGCAATCCCTTCTCCTTCATTCTCCTCTCGGGATCTTGGACATGTACACACACACACACACACACAGACACACACATCCGGCGTGAGTTTAAGCCACCGGGTATGAGACTCGAACCGCAGTCAACCACATGAGGGTCCAGCAACATAGCCACTACACCATTTGTTGGTCCCAAGTTTTTTTTTTTTTTTTTCTTTTTTCTAGAGGTTTTGTCTTGGGGCGTGTGTGCTCACGAGAGAGAGAAAGAGACAGGGAAACTGAGAGGGAGAATAAGTTATCCCCCACAAGGGGGATGGCCATGCCACAGTTTCCTTTCCTCACTTCTCCTCCCAGGATCATGGGCGTTTGCACACACACGCTTCCAGAGTGATTCTCAAACTTCTGGGTCCGGGACTATGAAGCACAGTTGGCCACATGGAAGTCCAGTGACATGAACACTGCGCCATCTGCTGGTCCTGAGGGTGCAACGTTTTTCTCCTGTGATTGAGAGAGCTTTCAGGGCCAGCAGGTGGTGTGGAGTTTAAGGCTGGGTGACAGTGTGGTTCAAGTCCTAGACCTCGCGGCTTGAAAAACATGCCAGGTGAGGACCAGCAGTTAGCGTAATGGCTATGTCGCTGGACTCCCATGTAGTCAACCGCCGTTCGAGTCCCGGACCCCGTGGCTTGAACTCACGCCGGGCGCGTGTGCATGCGTGCCCAAGATCCCGAGAGGAGAATGGAGGAGGAGGGATTGCGGTGTGGCCATCCCCCCTGGGGGGTGATGTCTCGCTGTCTGTCTCTCTGTCTCTCTCTGTCTGTCTGGCGAGCGCATGCGCCCTATAGCAAAAACCTCTCCAAAATAAATTTTAAAATAATAACAAATAAAGTGAAATCAATAGATCTTTTCCCCAAAAAGGTAACACCGGCATAATAAGCTTTTGTTTATTTGGCGGTTGTGAAAGTCGAGAGCGACCCCATCTTCAGTTCCGTGAGCTCCGGAAACGGCCAATCGGGGCGTTTTCCTGCCACGCCGTCTCCCCACACCCAGCTGCTCGGAAACGGCTGATATTATTGCGGACCTACTAGGTGTCAGCCCCCTCAATGGCTCACGTTGTCAGGGAGCTGCAGGACAACAGCTCATTCCCGGTCTCCACTTTACAGACGAGGAAACTGAGGCACAGAGCGGTGAGGTCTGGGGCCAACATTCATAGCCTGGGGAGGACGGTAAGAACTCGCTGAATCTGAGACGTGCTCCATCGGCAGCGTGGAGTGATAGGACCCGGGTGCGAATCTTGGCTCTGGTGCTCAGTACTGGCCGTAGGACCCCTGTTCCGTCACTGCCCCTCTTGGGGACTCGGTTTCCTCATCTGTAAAATGGATGCAGACACTTAGCAAATCACCGCTTAAGCTCCCCCTCCCTTCTTGCCTAGCCTAGAACCTCATTTAGTCTGAACAGCCATAGTTCCCAGGCTGCTTTGCAGCAGGGGATGGCCAGATGCCTCTTTTCTGGCCAGTGAGATAAGGAGAAATGGTCTAAGTTCTCCCAGGAAGATTTCTAGAATTGAACTGACTTCTGCCTTTCCCTCTAAGTGAGGAGGCGAAGGCTGGCACCCTGGCAGCTATTTTGTAACATGAGGCAAGCTTAAGGACAAAAGCCAAAGTGACCATGAACTGAGAGGGAAATCAAGTTCTACTGGTAGCTTGGATCTATTCCCATATTTTCCTCTTGCTGACTTACCCCAGGTGTCTAGCCTTGACCCCTGGGCTCAGACCAGTGTGGAATCCTTCCCTGCAGCCTCTGGCCTGTGGCCCAAAATGCTACGCATCTCATGGGTGACCCCATCCCAGTGCCCCATGCTGGTCGACAGTGTCTGGTGCATTGGAGGTACAGGCTGGCTTCTCTCCCGGCCTCCCAATTATGCTGCCGGTTCTGTGGCAGTGGCCACGGGCCCAAGGGGGTCCCCAGGCTCCAGGCAGAATGAATAGGGGGTGTGGCGATGGGTACCCTGCTGGGGCTGAGCTCTGGGGCTGGCCTTAGAGACTTCCGCAGAGCGGGAAGGATCGTCTTCAAAGGACGGCACAGACGGGTCATGGAGGCCACGGCGGGCGGTCCGGGCAGTCCGGAGCAGAATGTGGGTCAGCACAGCCACCAGGACCAGGGCGCCTGAGCCCAGGATGGAGGCGGCCGCGGCGCCTGTTTCAATTTCGAAGAGTAGCAGGGCATAGATGGAAAGCGCTAGAAAAAGGAAATACTGCTCACTGATTCAGGCAGCAAACAGGTGCACTCCAACTCCATTGGCTCCGCGAGCTCCCCAGAGTCAGTATAGAAAACCCTGCACGGCCGGCAGGTGGCGTGGTGGTTAAGGGCGCTGGACTCTCACATGGGCGACCGCGGTTCAAGTCCCAGACCTGATGGCTTGCTTTCTCACTTTCCTTCTCTCTGTCTCTCTCTGGTCAAATTAAAACTTAATAAATAGGTAAAGCTAAATAATTATTTTTAAAAAATTTTAAAATGGGGACCAGCAATTAGCGTAATGGCTATGTTGCTGGACACCCACGTAGTTGACTGCAGTTCGCGTCCCGGACCCGGTGGCTTAAACCCACGCGTGCCCAAGATCCCGAGAGGAGAATGGAGGAGAAGGGATTGCGGCGTGGCCATAACTCCTGAGGGGTGATTTCTCGCTTTCTGTCTCTTTGTCTCTCTCTGTCTGTCTGGCGAGCGCACGCGCCCTGTAGCGAAAACCTCTCCAAAAAATAAAAAAGAAAAATTTTAAATGGAAGGGCCAGCAGGTGGCGTGGTGGTTAGGGGCACCAGCCTCCCACATAACGGCGATTCAAATCCCAGACCTGGCGGCTTGCTTTCTCACTTTCCTCTCTCTCACTCTGTCTCTCTGGTTAAATTTAAAAATATAATAGGAATAAATAAAATTAAATCTTAAAAGATGAAGAAAACCCTGTAACAAGACCAGCATCTAGATGAACTCATAGAATTCTCTCACACCTCTCCAATAAATATAACTCCTGGAGCCAGCAGGTGGCATGGTGGTTAAGGTGCTGGACTCGCACATGGCTGACCATGGTTCAAGTCCCGGACCTGGCAGCTTGCTTTCTCTATATATATATATATCTCCCATTGTGTGTCCCTTTGAGAAACAATGAAGCCAGGGCCCAGAGAGCTCAAGGGATGCCCCCAAAGCCACAGGGCTGGAAATGATAGGGGTGGAGACTTTCTGGGTCTCTTTCGTAAATTTGCTAGAGGGCACGTGTACTTGTCAGGGAGAGAGAGCAAGCGACAGAGGGAGAGAACGGGTGAGAAAGTACCTTCCTAGGGGAAAGGTCTCGGTACAATCCCCCCTCTTCCATTCTTTCCTTGGGATTTGGGGCATGTACAGACATGCGCTCAGTGTGCACATGTTTTAATTTTATTTATTTTTCTTCTTTTTGGAGAGGTTTTTTGCTATAGGGTGCGTGTGCTCGCCAGAGAGCCAGAGAGAGCCAGAGAGACAGAAAGTGAGAAATCACCTTCCAGGGGAGATGGCCACACCGCAATCCCTTCTCCTCCATTCTCCTCTCGGGATCTTGGGCACACATGTACACGCGCCCGGCGTGAGTTTTAAGCCACCGAGTCCGGGACTCGAACCACAGTCAAGTACGTGGGAGTCCACTCTTATAACCATTATGCCACCTACTAGTCCCTATTTTTTATTTATTTTCAAGCCACTGGGTCCAGGATTCAAACTGTGGTCAGCCATGTGGGAGTTCAGCGCCTTAACTACTATGCCACCCGTTGACCCCTCCAAACATTTTTTTTTTCGATTTATTTATTATCATTATTATTTTAATTTGCTATAGGGCACATGTGTTCACCAGAGAGAGAGAGAGAGAGAGAGAGAGAGAGAAAGTGAGGAAGCAAACTGCTAGGTCCGAGACTTGAACTGTGGTTGACCATGTGGGAGTCCAGTGCCTTAACCACCAAACCACCTGCTGACCCTGGCTCTAAACATTGTTGAAAAGGTTTTTATAATTATTCTCTTGGCTCCAGCTAGCAGGGACTCAATGATTGGCTAGCCATGCCTGTGGGAAATGCTTGCTGAGTGAGGTCACCCAACCTCCAAAAGAATTTAAATGGGGGTGAATTAATTCTCAATTGAACGCTTAATGAGGCTGACAGAATGTTACCTTTTGGTGCCCTGGGTGATTTTTCTCTTTTTTTCTTGTATTTTAAGACAAAGATAATTTGTTCTCCAGGTCTCCAGGAATTTTGTTAGTCCCTGAAAAGACTTCAAGGTGCTTTGAAAAAGTCTGTCTTCTCAGAGAAAACAAACACAAAAACAAAACACCCACTCTGGTCAGAAGATGATGGGGTGAAGTGAGAGGCATTTGAATTATTTTTTATATAACTGTATTTATTATTATTATTATTATTTTCCATTTGGAGCAGAGAGGGAAAGTGAGAAAGCAAGCCACCAGGTCCAGATCTTGAACCGTTGTCAGCCATGGAGGGGTCCAGCCCCTCTCACCAACATGCCACATGCCAGCTGCCCCTTTTTTTAAAAAAAAAAGAATTATTTTATTTAACATTTATTTATGTATATTAATTTGGCCAGAGAGGGACAAGAGCGAGAGAGAGAGAGAGAGAGAAAAAGTGAGAAAGCAAGTCGCCAGGTCTGGGACTCGAACCACCACCGTTGGCCATGTGGGACTCCAGCACCCTTAACCACCACTCCACCTGCAAGCCCCAGTGAGAGACATTTCTTTTTCTTTTCTTTTCTTTCTTTCTTTCTTTTTTTTTTTTTGGAGAGGATTTTGCTATAGGGCGCACACCAGACAGACAGAGAGACAGAAAGCGAGAAATCACCCCCCGGGGGGATGGCCACACCGCAATCCCTTCTCCTCTATTCTCCTCTCGGGATCTTGGGCATGCACGCACACGTGCCCGGCGTGAGTTTAAGCCACCGGGTCTGGGACTCGAACCACGGTTGACTACATGGGAGTCCAGCGACATAGCCATTATGCTAACTGTTGGTCCCTAAATAAAATAATTCTTAACAACAACAACAAAAAAAACAAAACTAAATAAAACAATATAAAAATCTTCCCTCTTTATTTATTTATTGTATTTGTTTATATTTTAAATTTGTTTGTTTGTTTGTTTGTTTGTTTTGCCACAGTGCATGTATGCTCACTGGAGAGAGACAGAGAGAGGGAAAGTGAGAAATCACCCCCCAGGGGGGATGGCCACACCACAATCCCTTCTCCTCCACTCTCCTCTCGGGATTCTGGGCACGCACGCACCCGCGCCTGGCCTGATTTTCAGGCTGCTGGGTCCGGGACTCGAACCATGGAGTTGGCCATGTGAGATCGAGCGCCTTAACCACCATACCACCACTGGCCCTCTTCTCTTCACCGTAGACTCAGTCCTGGCTGGCCTCAGGCACACCACACGTGCTCCTTCAGACCTGGATGTGACCCCAGGAGCTTCCCCCGCGGCTGCACCGTCACTCTGCCACCACTGTGGGCCCATCCGCTGTCACAGGGATCAGTTCAGAACCCCTCCACCATTCCATAAGCCACGATCTTTCCCATTGTTCTGATGGGGAAACTGAGGCACAGAGCAAATTTACCCCAGGTCCTGAAGCAAGTGTCAGGGCCCAGAGCTGAACCCAGGCTGACCCCACTCTCCACCCCACCCCACGGCCCTGCACCCCATGTCCTACACCCCAGCACACACCTGCTAAGTAGACGGAGACCCCGCAGCAGAAGAGGCCCAGGGCCACGTGTCTGAGGAGGCGGCAGTCGTAGAGAAACCAGTCAGACCTGGGATGGAGGGGGGCAGGAAGGGAAAACTCAGAGAACAGAGCTGGGGCAGGGAGGCCAGAGAGGAGGAGGAGGAGGAGCGGCCTTATGGAAACAGTGGCCAGCTTTCGGGGACTTGAGATCTGTGTGAGGACTCAGTCATCATCTACTCTCCCACCCATCCACATCCGTCCTTTATCATCATCCATCCATCCACCTATCCACCTGGGATCCTAACCAATCGATCTATCCACTCATCCACCCACCCAACTATCCACCCATCCACCCATCCATCCATCCATCCATCCATCCACCCACCCAACTATCCATCCATCCATCCATCCATCCATCCATCCATCCATCCATCCACCCAACTATCCATCCATCCATCCATCCGTCCATCCATCCATCCATCCACCCACCCAACTATCCATCCATCCATCCATCCATCCATCCATCCTTCCATTCTCCTACATCCCCAGTCATCCATCTATTTATCCCATCTGTCCACTCACTCACTCATCTATTACCATATGTTCACCTACTCATCCAACCACCCATCCATTCAACCATCTATCCATCCATCCATCCATCCATCCATCCATCCATCCACCCAACTATCCATCCATCCATCCATCCGTCCATCCATCCATCCATCCACCCACCCAACTATCCATCCATCCATCCATCCATCCATCCATCC